AGCTTCGGACTCAATGGCACTGCGGCCGCACGGCAACGTGTGGCACACCAATGCCTGCGTTCCGGTCCGGTCCGGTCCGAAAAAATGCTCCAAGCACAATTTTTTCTGATTGGACCGGAACGCAGGCATTGATGTGCCACATGTTCCCGTGCGGCCGATCACACTGTGGCTCATGGGCATGGCTGTGCTGCCATTGAGTTCAATGCACCACCATGCCCCCTCCCGCCCCTTAACAAAGTGAGCCAGCTGCAATACGATCCAGTACGTTCCGGCCACAATCGGGCCGGAACACACTGTGGATGGTGGGAACTAGCCCTAAAGGTCATGGTAATGAAGAGGGTCATAGTACAATTCAAACTGGATTTGGTATACTAGAACAATGGACAATACTGCCACTTTGGGTTCCAAAAGCTATGGCACACTTATGCTTGGAGTCCCAGAACATAGGCCCACTGAGACTATGGTTTTTGGAAGAATGTTCCTCTGACACTTGGGTTTTCTGAACAATGGCCTTCTGCCGCTTGTGGTCCCAGAACAATCGAACACTCTCACTTGTGCACCCAGAACAACGACACACAAGCTTGTGGTACCAGAACAATGGCACACTGACACTTGATGTCTCAGAACAATGGCACACTGACATGTGTGGTCCTAGAACAATGGCACACTGACACTTATGGTCTCAAAGCAACGGCACACTGACACTTGTGGTCTCAAAACATTGGCACACTGACACTTGTGAACCCAGTACAATGTCACACTGACACTTAAGGTCAAATGGCAATGGCACGCGAACACTCATAGTCCAAGAACAATGGCATGCTGACACTTGTGGTCCCAGAAGAATGACACGCTGACAAATGTGGACCCAGAAGAATGATGTGCTGCCATTTGGGGATAACTAAATAAAGATGCAATGACATGTTGGGGTTGCAGAAAACAACACATAAGGTAATTTTATCAGCTCTCTTCAAAAATGTGAAAGGTGCAATGAGGAGATGTATTTAGAGCCATGATATCTGATAAGTATAAAGGAGGGGAGTCTGTGTCTGATCCTTTTACCAGACATAGAGGGGGTTAGCAGGAGTGTGCAGAATCTTCCCTTCGTGATGAACACCTAATCCTATATCCTCTACGTAAAAGCCATTCTGCTCCAAATCTGTCTGTAATCAGAGCAGGAATTCCTATTCACGACCCCCATTCCTGAATACCCTTTCCATAGTTAACCCTTGCTGGCACAAAGAGCCCCCGCCATCACTAATTAATTACTGGTACTTCTTGTACTAGAAACAAAAGCCCCATATTGATTGATAAAGGCAATGCAGGTACTTCTATCTGTGACCTCTGGAGCTGATCAGCCAACCAAATGTTAACATGTATGGCTTAAAGTAACATTGCACCCAAAGCTGATATTTAAATTCCCGGTAGACAGTTTCCTATTTCCCCCAAGCACTCCACTGCTGAGATATTTGCCCTGAAAGTAGACCTAACTGCGATCTTGCGATGGAGGAAAAAAATTAACATTTCCAGACCCATGTTGGCCTAAGAGGAGTCGGATGTAAATGGACGTGTGTCTGTGTGCACTAGATTACCCCCGATCCGGAACAATCAGGTCCGCCAAAATGGAATACCGCCTGGACCTGTCCGGAGCTGGGGGTGGCTGGATGTAAAAGGAAGCCCATCCGTTTAGATCTGACTGCCCATTCACCAAAGGTGGCCATACACCTTACGATTATCGGACGACACTTTTCGTCCGATGATCGAACCGTCGTACGGCCGCCCCATTATGCCCCGATTATCACAAGGTTAAATTAGCCTTAAGTAAAGAAAAGCACCCGGACGAATTGCGGTAATCAACCGCACGTATTTTCGTTTGTGCATGAGCAGTGTAGATCGTACGATTTTTGACGTACGGAAACGCCACCGAACTTGCAATAATCGTACGATCAACCAAAGTTTTCAAACATGCTTGAAAGTCAAGTCGTATGATTGTACAGTATTTGCGGTTGTACACTGCCCACACACCTTGCGATTATCGGACAAAAACGCGATCGCGTACGATAATCGTAAGGTGTATGGGCACCTTAACATGGGGCATCCAATCAGGTTTCCCTGAAACAGTCAGACCCAATCGAATGCAGGTGTGAAAGGGGCCCATGGGTCCTTCCATTGATGACTTGTTTCAAAAGTTACAATATGCTTGTGCTCCATCTCTGGCATCAATGCTTAGCAAAAGAAAAGCATGCAACCAGATACTTCAAACCGGCTGAATTCTGGGCTAGTTACATAGTTACATAGTATTGAGGTTGAATAAAGACATAAGTCCATCAAGTCCAACCTATTGCGTGTATGCATTTATGAGCTGGTGTGTGCATGTATATGTGTCCATGTGTGATTTTCTCTTAGCAATACCTGTACCCCTGTATGTTATGGTCTCCCAGGAACTCGTCCAGGAGTCGCTTGAATGCTTCCACACTCTTGGCTGAGATCACTTCCTGTGGCAGCGAGTTCCAGACCCTAACCGCTCTAACTGTGAAGAACCCCCTGCGCCCTGTGTGGTGACTTGCTAAGGAGTGAATCTTAGCACCCTGGGAGCCAGAGGCAAAACTAGAAAACCTCAGGGACCCGGTGCAGGAAACCATGACCGTGGGAGGGACCAACGGAGTGTTGGCCTGCTGCATGCTGAGAGCTGTAGTCCCAGGAGGCAATGTCGGCACCTTGCTGTTTACTGGTGCCGGGCCCTCTTCTTGCTTTCTGGGCGTCCCTCCCCAAGTGGCCGGATTCCAGGGCACAGTTGCACATGCGCAGGCCCGGCACTACCACAAAGGCAAGTCAAGCGGCTGCCTGAGGGCGCTGAAGGGGTGAGGGCGGAAAAAACGCAAAAGTGCACCTTCGCCTGTGTAGGCAAAAATGCTTGCACCGGCCCTGCACATGCGACCGCTGCGACCCCGGTAGTTCCACTAGTGCTGGGAGCATTTAGCTATTAAAATATATTGGAAATGGCAGTTTTATAGCCCTATCATGACAGGTTCACTTTAAAGAGACCCTGTCACAGGACCATTTACTTCAACAGCACTCTTTCCAAAAGCGTATATGTGCATTTAACGTATATTAGGCACGTAATTTAGCCTCCCTTGTGTAGATATCTAAAAGCCCTGAGACTACTGCTCAGTGCCACCATCTTGAAAGTAATGTCGGCCGCTCCAGAGCTGTCACTCAAGTGACACTCTATAGTAGGGATGCACCGATACCGTTTCTTTTGTGTACCGATATTTTTTTCCCCGGTATTCGCGGATACCGAATATCGATACCGGAAGTCTCATTAAGGAAGCTGGGCAACGTGTAATGACTCGCCCCCTTGGCTTCATGACTGGCCAGCTTCCCAACCAATCAGGAAGCCGGGCGGCGAGTCATTACACAGCGCCTGGCTTCCTGATTGTCTCCATAAAGAGGACCTGTCACTCCATATTTGCTATTGCATAGAGGGCTTGCTATCCCCCTATGTGATAGCAATAGAGTTAAGTGTAAGAAAAAAAAATTAGCCACATATAAAAAAAAAACCAAAAAAACATGCACATACAAACGCAAAAACGCGTTTGGTGCGCTTACATATGAAAACGATTGCGCTGCACATGTTACATATCACCGCGAATGTCAGAGTGTGAGCAATAATTCTAGGGCCATCAATCACTGATAACACTAAACTGATGAACAGTAAAATGCTTTTAACTTGTCGCCTATGAAGAATTTTAGGTGTGGCTGTTTTTGGTCATCTGCACAAGTACGAGGATCTTTATTCTCAGCCATGTGACTGGCATTTGTATTTAAAAAGTCGTCACATTTTCTAAAAAACACAGTAAGGATCCTTCACCTGGAATATTAGCTTTGTACATTAAACTAAAAGTATAGAACAATGATATATGTACGTCTACGATGAAGACTGTTCAGTGTTCTACGTCTAATCTACGTCAAATTATTTGTGCAGCGTGCTCTTATCTTCCCTGCTTGTTACCTAAAATTCCTCAGTGATATCATGATACCGAGAAAGAGAAACACGGGACAGAAGGACAGACAGATAAGAATGAGATAGATAGATATATACAGACATAGATAGATAGATAGATAGATAGATAGATAGATAGATAGATAGATAGATATTAATGAGATAGATAGATAGATAGATAGATAGATACAGACATAGATAGATAGATAGATAGATAGATAGATAGATAGATAGATATATACAGACATAGATAGATAGATAGATAGATAGATAGATAGATAGATAGATAGATAGATAGATAGATAGATAGATAGATATTAATGAGATAGATAGATAGATAGATAGATAGATAGATAGATAGATAGATAAAGAGAATGAGATAGATAGATAGATAAAGAGAATGAGATAGATAGATAGACAGATAGATAGAAAAGAATGAGATAGATGATAGATAGATAGATAGATAGATAGATAGATAGATAGATAGATAGATAGATAGATAGATACAGACATAGATAGATAGATAGAAAAGAATGAGATACATAGATAGATAGATGATAGATAGATAGATGATAGATAGATAGATAGATAGATAGATAGATAGATAGATAGAAAGAAAAGAATGAGATAGATCGATATATACAGACATACATAGGCAGACAAGATACATAGATCATAGATACATAGAAATGAATGATATAGATGATAGATAGATAGAAAGAAAAGAATGAGATAGATAAATAGAACAATATGAATATCTATACGCAGTGTACATGACGATACACATGGCACATTCTTAGGGGTGGGTGATGCAGGGGTGAGGAATTAAGGAAATCCTACTTTGATTTTTCCGTACACTCCCCCCCTCTGTTCTATGCACCATGTGCTGGATCTGGAAAGGTTCGGTATGTGACAGGTTAATACATCCCAGGCAATGGGTATAAATTTGGGGGTCTGCAGATTCTCCACACAGATTGGGTGAGGCGCGGTACACAGGATGAGGTGCGAGTCACTCTGGGTCACCTTCACTTTGACCCTACTGGGAGGTGTGACCCCTGCGGCGGCTGTGGGCAGCGCTGGCACAAGCGGGGTGGAAGGACGAGGATCGGAGTCACAGAGAGGTATGTAGACAGCCAAGTATTCAATATGATTCAAATGTTACATTTATTTGATACTTTTTTTGCATATTGGGGCAATATTAGTTTATTATTGTATATTATTTTTGGATATTTTTATATCTTTTTTTATGTTTTTGATATATTTATATATATTGTGTCTGCAGGCCGGGGGTCTTTTTTTTTCTTTTTTCCCCTACAATCTTCAGTTAATTATAAAGTCCAAAACTGATTGGGAGCATTTCCCCATGAAAATAGATCGCTGACACAGAGTGACCATTTGATTACTATTCTCTCCAACCAAAACGGAGGTCACCTGCTGGTATGGTACTCCAGCGCTGAGGTGTCCCTCCCTCTGACCCCCCAAAGGTCTGTGCAATGGCTGATTGAGTTTGGCACATTTTGGTGGGGGATATCTCATCGGAGTCCCCAAAATATTTCAAGAGAGTCCCCAGATTTAGGTGGAGATGACCCACAAATCACTGCGACAGTCAGAGTGCTTATTATTGTATTACATAATTAGGTAAAGTGCGTCCATTAACCCCTTCATGACTGAGGCCTTTTTTTCATTTTTTGCACCCATGTTATATTCCACATTTTAGTCCTGTGGATCGATGAATGGAAGTTCGTCGACCTCCTCCCCAGCTCCCGCTCCTGGGCCCGTAGGAGGGACAACGGAGCCTGGGAAGCACGGCGGCGGCCCCTTCTTCGGGACGCAGAAGCAATCTGGTAACAGGTAAGTCGCCAGGATCGCTTCTGTTGTAAAGCCGACAGTCGGCTCTACAAGTTTAAACAGAGTCCCGGCGGCAAAAGTCGCCGGGAGTCTGTTTAAACAGCCCCGATGGGGTTAAGTAATCCAGAAATGTAAAAGGAATGGGGAGGGGGGGGGGTTACTGTAGTGCTATGTGAACATTGTACAGGCGATGGGAAATTACAGGTTGTCAGCATACGTACCTCTCTTCAACTCTACACTGGAAACTTTATGTGTATGGGTGTAAGTTATTTCATTCATTGGTAAAGGTTCTCATTCATCCAGGTCAGGGTACATCTGTGAAACATAAATCAAGGCACCTGGACTTGCTGTGTGTTTCTTGAAGACGTTTCACTGGTCATCCGACCAGCTTTCTCAATTCAGAATGACTTGTACAAAAATATCCCAGGAGGCTGCGGGGGCAGGGCATGTCGTTCCTACCTAGGCGAGGGGAGGGGGGTTAAAATAGATCTGAGCACTGAAGGTCTACTTTAAGGTATGCTAAAACGACATGCAGTAATATTGACTGAGAGGCCACTTTGGCATGCCTTAGTCCCCCTATAAGATGCTCCTGCAGCTTTGATGAAACAGGGATACTGAGTGCTATACAAACAAATTCAGACTAAGGGCTTTTGCCTGTGAAGGTTCTCATTCCTCCAGGTCATGGTATATCTGTTAAACAGAAATCAAGGCGCCTGGACTTGCTGTATTTTTCTTGAAGACGTTTCGCTGCTCATCCGACCAGCTTTTTCAATTCAGAATGACTTGTACAAAAAATACTCTGGGAATACATATGGTGAATGTTCCAATCCACATCATCTGTTTATCATGTCCAGCATGGGGTCAGAGACGTCATGGGGGTGAGGTGTTAATTGCATTTGCATGAATGGAGCTAGTAGGTGTTATTAAGCAAATAGGGGTAGTCTGATGACCAGCGAAACGTCTTCAGGAAATATACAGCAAGTCCAGTGGCCTTGATTGGAAGGGTGGAAGGATTGGAAGGGTTGCAGTTTTTATATACTGGAGGTTAGGCTCAAGTTAGGGAGCATGGGGCTAAAATGCCCTGACGCAGGGGAAGGGGGTACATATACCTTATCATAAGGAGGGGGAGGGGTGGTTTCGGGTCTGGGAGCATCAGTTGGGGGGGGTTGCAAGTGCATCTGTAAGTTGGGGTGTCAGACTTGGTCTACATTGTCCATGGGTGATAACATTTGCTGAAAAAGTGAATCAGTAGATGGTATGGTGTGCCTGTGGGAGAATGCAGGGGTTTCAGATGTAGCAGGGGACAGGCTCTTCTACCCAGGCAGTGGCAGGGGACAGGCTCTTCTACCCAGGCTGTGGCAGGGGACAGGCTCTTCTACCCAGGCTGTGGCAGGGGACAGGCTCTTCTACCCAGGCAGTGGCAGGGGACAGGTTCTTCTACCCAGGCTGCTGGCAGTGGACAGGCTCTTCTACCCAGGCTGTGGCAGGGGACAGGCTCTTCTACCCAGGCAGTGGCAAGGGACAGGCTCTTCTACCCAGGCAGTGGCAGGGGACAGGCTCTTCTATCCAGGCAGTGGCAGGGGACAGGCTCTTCTACCCAGGCAGTGGCAAGGGACAGGCTCTTCTACCCAGGCAGTGGCAGGGGACAGGCTCTTCTATCCAGGCAGTGGCAGGGGACAGGCTCTTCTACCCAGGCAGTGGCAAGGGACAGGCTCTTCTACCCAGGCAGTGGCAGGGGACAGGCTCTTCTATCCAGGCAGTGGCAGGGGACAGGCTCTTCTACCCAGGCAGTGGCAAGGGACAGGCTCTTCTACCCAGGCAGTGGCAGGGGACAGGCTCTTCTATCCAGGCAGTGGCAGGGGACAGGCTCTTCTACCCAGGCAGTGGCAAGGGACAGGCTCTTCTACCCAGGCAGTGGCAGGGGACAGGCTCTTCTATCCAGGCAGTGGCAGGGGACAGGCTCTTCTACCCAGGCAGTGGCAAGGGACAGGCTCTTCTACCCAGGCAGTGGCAGGGGACAGGCTCTTCTATCCAGGCAGTGGCAGGGGACAGGCTCTTCTACCCAGGCAGTGGCAAGGGACAGGCTCTTCTACCCAGGCAGTGGCAGGGGACAGGCTCTTCTATCCAGGCAGTGGCAGGGGACAGGCTCTTCTACCCAGGCAGTGGCAAGGGACAGGCTCTTCTACCCAGGCAGTGGCAGGGGACAGGCTCTTCTATCCAGGCAGTGGCAGGGGACAGGCTCTTCTACCCAGGCAGTGGCAAGGGACAGGCTCTTCTACCCAGGCAGTGGCAGGGGACAGGCTCTTCTATCCAGGCAGTGGCAGGGGACAGGCTCTTCTACCCAGGCAGTGGCAAGGGACAGGCTCTTCTACCCAGGCAGTGGCAGGGGACAGGCTCTTCTATCCAGGCAGTGGCAGGGGACAGGCTCTTCTACCCAGGCAGTGGCAAGGGACAGGCTCTTCTACCCAGGCAGTGGCAGGGGACAGGCTCTTCTATCCAGGCAGTGGCAGGGGACAGGCTCTTCTACCCAGGCAGTGGCAAGGGACAGGCTCTTCTACCCAGGCAGTGGCAGGGGACAGGCTCTTCTATCCAGGCAGTGGCAGGGGACAGGCTCTTCTACCCAGGCAGTGGCAAGGGACAGGCTCTTCTACCCAGGCAGTGGCAGGGGACAGGCTCTTCTATCCAGGCAGTGGCAGGGGACAGGCTCTTCTACCCAGGCAGTGGCAAGGGACAGGCTCTTCTACCCAGGCAGTGGCAGGGGACAGGCTCTTCTATCCAGGCAGTGGCAGGGGACAGGCTCTTCTACCCAGGCAGTGGCAAGGGACAGGCTCTTCTACCCAGGCAGTGGCAGGGGACAGGCTCTTCTATCCAGGCAGTGGCAGGGGACAGGCTCTTCTACCCAGGCAGTGGCAAGGGACAGGCTCTTCTACCCAGGCAGTGGCAGGGGACAGGCTCTTCTATCCAGGCAGTGGCAGGGGACAGGCTCTTCTACCCAGGCAGTGGCAAGGGACAGGCTCTTCTACCCAGGCAGTGGCAGGGGACAGGCTCTTCTATCCAGGCAGTGGCAGGGGACAGGCTCTTCTACCCAGGCAGTGGCAAGGGACAGGCTCTTCTACCCAGGCAGTGGCAGGGGACAGGCTCTTCTATCCAGGCAGTGGCAGGGGACAGGCTCTTCTACCCAGGCAGTGGCAAGGGACAGGCTCTTCTACCCAGGCAGTGGCAGGGGACAGGCTCTTCTATCCAGGCAGTGGCAGGGGACAGGCTCTTCTACCCAGGCAGTGGCAAGGGACAGGCTCTTCTACCCAGGCAGTGGCAGGGGACAGGCTCTTCTATCCAGGCAGTGGCAGGGGACAGGCTCTTCTACCCAGGCAGTGGCAAGGGACAGGCTCTTCTACCCAGGCAGTGGCAGGGGACAGGCTCTTCTATCCAGGCAGTGGCAGGGGACAGGCTCTTCTACCCAGGCAGTGGCAAGGGACAGGCTCTTCTACCCAGGCAGTGGCAGGGGACAGGCTCTTCTATCCAGGCAGTGGCAGGGGACAGGCTCTTCTACCCAGGCAGTGGCAAGGGACAGGCTCTTCTACCCAGGCAGTGGCAGGGGACAGGCTCTTCTATCCAGGCAGTGGCAGGGGACAGGCTCTTCTACCCAGGCAGTGGCAAGGGACAGGCTCTTCTACCCAGGCAGTGGCAGGGGACAGGCTCTTCTATCCAGGCAGTGGCAGGGGACAGGCTCTTCTACCCAGGCAGTGGCAAGGGACAGGCTCTTCTACCCAGGCAGTGGCAGGGGACAGGCTCTTCTATCCAGGCAGTGGCAGGGGACAGGCTCTTCTACCCAGGCAGTGGCAAGGGACAGGCTCTTCTACCCAGGCAGTGGCAGGCTCTTCTACCCAGGCTGCTGGCAGGGGACAGGCTCTTCTACCCAGGCTGTGGCAGGGGACAGGCTCTTCTACCCAGGCTGTGGCTGCTTTAGAAAGAAATCAAACTGTATGACATTGAAAACCTTTAATTTTGATGCTCCAATGTCGGTTCAGTTGGGCTTTAAGGTCTTCAAAAAAGCTACTTAAAGCTTTATGAATCATCACAATACGTGGCGCTCCAAAGACCGGTGTTTACAATAGAAATCCTGGGTCAACTAGGCCAAAAATAGACAATCATCACGGACCAGAAGTGACTTGGTACACCCAAATTATGATCTTTTCAACAGATGCTGGCATGCGCCCAGAAGGAAGATGCACTGCCAGGGCGGTGACAGAGATGATGCTCTGCCAATTTCCTAAATTAACATTTTTCAGTGTCCATTGTTGTATGTTATTTGATTGGTTTTCATCATGTTCAGTACAATAATAATACATTGCGATCTCAGTAAACAAGCCGGGTTGCATTAGTTTGCCCTCAATGGTTAACTTGCAGAAGTTGTAGTGTTCCTTTACTACTTGTGTCTCCGCACAGATACGGGCAGCTTCTCTGCATTGCCTGGCAGCGGTCCACATCCACGTTTCAGGAGGAGGCTGGCCCAGGCTGGGGGTTGGCCACGTTTAGAGGATCGAGAATGCCGCCTGAAGACGCTGCTTCTTCGAGTGGGTGACCTGGGGCTTGGGTACGATTCAGAAGAGACTGTCCTCTTTAAGTACTGCAGCGGAGGTTGTCCCAGATCTCGTACCAACCATGACCTGATCCTGTCCCGGCTGTTGCAGAAAAGTGACCTCCCTTCCCTCCTGGAGGAGAAGATATTTGGTGGGCCCTGCTGTCGGCCCACGCACTACGAGGATGTAGCATTCTTGGACGACAACCACCGGTGGCATACCGTGGAGAAGCTCTCTGCTGCGGCGTGCGGCTGTGTTGGCTGACTTTGCCAGACCATGATAGAGACACTGTAGAGCACGGCAGTATAGAATCTATTTATGAATGTAATCTATATAGCTGCCTCTCAGAATACACATGGCAGGACTGCGAGTGGAGGGAGAAAAAAAAGAATGGGAATCTGGACCTATGGGCAGCCAAGTGTCTGCAGATTTAACATAGATAGTGGATTGGGACCAAAGGCATTAACAGACCTATGTAGCCAGTGTATGGGCTGAACATAACTGAATGGCTATTCAGACAGATCTAGGAGCCATGAGTCATGTGATCTCCCACTACCAACAGTAGTAAAGGGTGATAAAAATTATTTGGATATGAGCTGTACTATTTTAAGGCTCCCTAGCATTGTTCAGCCCTGAAAAGACAGGTGCTCTTACCCATGTGGAAGGCAAGGGGTCAGCGCCTTCTAGGTGGACTGACTGATCTGATGTATGGAGATCGGGAGTGCTCACTTTCCTGACATGCATACTGATTCTGGTTCAGGCAATCAGAAAGCATTGATGCCAGGGACAGCCATCTCTGTATTTCTCTCAGTAGATGTCATTTAAAGGGGACCTGTCATGATAGAAATATTGCAGCTGGCATTCCTGAATTAGATTTTAAAAGGTGCAGGTTCTGGAGCCGTCATCCTGATACTGACCTAGAACATATGGTGTGTGTATTCAATGTGCTTCCCTACAATAGGGGCTTAGTCATGAATAGAGATGAGACCGGGCTTGGTGCGAACCCAAGCCTGTTCAAAATTGTGACCCCTTCCCGACCCAATCAGTGGCGGCAGTTGTGGCAGGGGCATTCCCTGCCCCTTTGTGATGTATAGCTGTGGGAAATGCGCCTCTCTGCAACTGACTGGGCTGGGACGAGGGAGAGGCAGTCACAGTTTTGGGCTGGCTTGGGTAAACTGGGCGCACACCAAGCCCAGGCTCATCAGTAGTCCTGAAGGTTCATGACTAAGCCTCTTTTGGAATGAGTAGAAAAGGGTCTGGCAGTGAACGATGTGCCACGGTCTGGCTTTGCGAGTTTGCGATCCCCTCTGGACCCAATCAGTGACGGCAGATGTGCCTGCTGCTTTGTGATGTATAGCTGTGGGAAATGCGCCTCTCTGCAACTGACTGGGCCGGTACAAGGGAGAGGCAGTCACAGGTTTGGGCAGGCTTGGGCAAACTGGGCGCACACCAAGCCCAGGCTCATCACTAGTCCTGAAGGTTCGTGACTAAGCCCCTTTTGGAATGAGTAGAAGAGGGTCTGGCAGTGAACAACGTGCCACGGTCTGGCTTTGTGAGTTTGCGTTACTTGCAATAAAGCTTGCTGGATATCAAAACAAAAAACAAAAACAGTGGAAGTGTAGCCTGCTTCTATCCTCCCCTGTTGGGTAAACTCCATCGTGTCTCCCAAAAGCTTACCAAAAGCATTGATATAAGACTGGTCCACCCAGACCATTCAACAGCACTTCTGACCACTCTACCCCAAATGTGACAGAAGGAGGGTACTACCCAATGAAGTCTACACCAAGCTGAGTGTGAGCTTACTTATCTCTAGGGATGACTTTACTTGTACAGTACTATGTAAATGGTTGGAACTTTTTTACATACCGAACAATTAAATAATAATAAATCACAATGCGGCTTTACACAACCTGTGGCTCTCAAGCCTCCGTGGCCCTACCAGTCCCATGACTTGCATTACCACGTAGGCTTCCGAGAAGCAGGCTGTCTAAGTTTGGGCTAATGGGTTCCTGCAGGAAATTGCTCATGTAGCACACATATGCCTCACATCTGACGCAGCCCGGTTACCAGCACACAGCAGTAATCACCTGCAGGAAGGACGTCTCCCATTACCTATCACCTAGCAGTGCTTTAAGAAGTCAGTATGGAATAAAAAAAAAAAAGAAATAATTATTTATAAATAGATAACTTATTTTATTTATTCGATTGCAGACAAAACAATTAAAAACAATCATCATGTATTTATATGTTTATATTTCTGATTCAGATGCAAAATCAGCCAAATAAAGAGGATTTTGAATAAGGCGACTGTGTGGTTTTTTAATAAACAGTTTCACCGCAATATGCCGTGTTTGTGACTCTCAGGTAAACATTCAAGCAGACCTTTACCCCCATAACCCCTTTCACTAAAAATCACCTCACCGTGCCACTCTGCGTGCTGATATGAAATCATCTTACACTCATTAGTTAAACAAACATATTTTTATTTTACTTACAATTATTGTTTTTCTACTTCCTGGTCCTCTTGGGCAGTAGTGATGTAATGTGCCCAAGCGTTGCATCCTGGGGAGGTTACATCAGCAGGGAAATCTCATCTGTAATCTCATGAGATCCCAGGGAAAGGCATTTTCCTCCCGTGAGATATGTGCATGGTCACATGTCCTAGTCACATCTGACAGAGTTCCAGGAAGTAAAGGGAGATCTAGTAACCTGCCCATAGTTAAAATGGCCACCGTGAGAAGAATGGGGAAGAAAAGAAAAAAAAAAAAAAAGGTATGGAAAGGATACAAAGCCGGCAATTATATAGAAGTATGTGTTTGTAGATCGTCATTACTGATCATTTCTAAAGGTGTGTTTGTTGTCATTTCACAGAGAAGGGTAAAGTTCCTCTTTAAGGACCGAGTCACACCATATCCACTGCGTTCCTGGCACGGTTCAAGCCCGTAATGCACTGGATTGCATAGTTCAAACCGGGCCGCGTCCTAGGGTGGAAGGGGGTGTGGCGGTGCCATTCATGTCAATGCTCGCAGTGCGATCACCCTGCGCTACAACACGTTCCGGTGCAGTGGGATCGGAAAAAAATAATGCATACAACGGAGGGCATTCTTGTACCTCACATTCTGGTGCGGGTGGGGGGAGCGGGTCTGAGGTGCCATTGACATGAATGGTACCGCCAAGCCCCACAGGATATGGTGTGACTGGGCCCTCACAGCGCCCTTTAGTTTGCTTTTGAATTCCTTCAAAAAAGTCACATACTCAAGTTTCAGTTCAGCTAATAAGATAACTCAAAAGCCGACTTCGTACTGAGCTGCCACTCACCAGCTGAAAGTTGAAGACAGGCTTAGAAAGGGAGGCCCTGAGCAATAAGCTGGTGCTTAGGAAGGGGAGATACTTAGGTGGACTTAGAAGGGTAAAAAAGCTCGGAATGGGTGACACCAGTGTTCACTAGCTGGACAAACAGAAGGGAGGAGGAGGGGCAGTGACACAAGGTCTGCAGAAGTGCTGGTTTTAAAAAGTGTTGTCACCCTTGTTTTGTGAAGCCGTATGGCACAGAAAGGGTGAATGGATTACAATTATATGCTACACATGTCTGGCAGGTAAACAGTTCGTACGTATATATTTCGGTTACCTATCTGGGTGGAGCTGCTCATCAGATAGAAACATTAAACTTAACAGAAGTTCCTAATAGAACAGAACACAAGGTGGCTGTACATGGGCAGTCTGGAGCCCCTGAACCCTGCAGCTCTGACTCCCGGAAACGCAATGTCTATGACACAAAAGCATTGCGTTGTGGGGTGACAGAATGTTGACTTGAAGTTCGTAATTTCCACACTAAGCGCCCCCAAGTTCAGGGCTGCTCTAAACAAAAAGGAAAAGCTATGCAAAAGGTATCTTGAGGGCTGCGAGCTATTTAAGGTTTATCTTAGTTGCGCATTGTTTTATAAGCTGAACTCTGGGCAGAAAAACTTTCATCTAAATATATTGCGCAATAGTTACAGAGGATAGAAATCCACTTTGTGTGCACCAAATATTACCTTGTAAAAGTAGCCGTGACATCATCACTGTGCTGCATATAGCCTGTGCAGAGTGTAGAACTGTGGGAGCGACCTAGCAGGCCCCGCCCACTACAGGCTGCCTGAAGAAAGCTACCGGAGGGGCGGAGACAAGACCAGTCACCCTGCACAAGGAGAGAGAGCAACAGTGAGCAGTCTTTATTACAGGAGGGGGTGGAGAAAAGACTAGTCACCCTGCACAAGGAGAGAGAGCCGCAGTGACTGGTCTTTGTTACAGGAGGGGGCGGAGACAAGACCAGTCACCCTGCACAAGGAAGGAGAGCAGCTGTGACAGATCTGTATTACAGGAAGTTCCTGCACAGAGGCAAAGTGTCACACCGGAGTCACAGAGAGATATAAGAGGCCGGAAATGATTGAACCTTCCATGAAATATTCGTTTTCAGAGGATCGGCCCCTTAGGATGTATTCTGTATCCAATGAGCCTGTTACTCATGTGTGCAAATCACAGATTATCGGTAAAAGAGGACCTGCATGCAATTGTAACCTGCCTAGGAACGCCCACTCCTCCAGACTGACATCCTCCCATCAAGGCATTTGGATATTTTCATAACCCCTCCCAAGAGCCAGCCCATCAGGAACTGAGGCAGTGTGCTGTCATGTTTTCAGGAAGCCATGTATAGCACACTGCCGGCTCCTCCCACTAGCCATGATCTGCCTGTATTGCATAGAGAAGCTCAAAGACCCAATAATGAAATTACTGCATTTAAAATAAGGTCGGTAGTGACAAAAATGGAAAAGCTTTATTTAAAAATGTCATGAGCATGTTGCCGAGAGGGGAATCAGAAAAGGCACAATATGAGAAGTTAAAAACTTCAGCTTTAAATAAGAGTTCCAAAACCATGGTACCTGTTCCTGACTACGGCAGCAAATCCTCCACACTCCACATGTAGAGTTCTGT